AGTGGCGGCGGCAGAAGAAAAGGAGAGTCTCTCGGATAGCAGATACGATCTCGGAAGTGGGTCGGTAAAGTGCGACCGGAGATGTTCGTCCCGGAGGGAAAAGCGAGCGATAGCGATGAGGGACGTTTCGCCGAAGCCGTTACCGTTACCGAAGGCCACCATCGTTCGCCAGAAACGAGGGTGGCTTGTGCGCCGGCGGGAGGGCGGGAAGAAGCCGACGATCACGCCGACGATCACGCCGACGATCACGCCGGCATCTACCGGCGGTGGCGGGAGGGAGGGGTAGGGAGGATTGATGCGCGTCCATAACTCATGTGGAAATGCGGTCAGGTGCACAACTGGATCAACGAGAGATCACCCGCGATCCTATCGTCCTGCGCGATCTGCCGCTCGTGACTTCTCCGTCTCACGTGATACACGATACATACACGACGGGTTGCCAGCCACCGGGATGTTCCTCGGCTTACCGTTTACTCGCGCGCGCGCGCGCGCGATCGTCTATTAATTATTAGTCGCATCTGGCTGCGGCGAACGCCGACACGCGCCACCGGGCCCATCGATCCTTGAAAAGTGACCTTACGCGAAGTCGTTCATTTAATTCGCACGGCTGAAGTCACGTGAGCGGCGAGAAACCGGTTCCGAGAACGGAAGGAAAAAATTGTCTAGACAATTTCTTTCCTTTTCTCTCCCCATCGCGATAATATAATTCATAATTGATATAGTTATAAAATTCGCCGTGAATAAAATCTCGTTAATAAGTAGCCGCGTCACGAATGCACTTTACACCGGCGTGCATTTTTAGCGCAAGTATCCGTCAGTCGGCCTCTCTCGCCCTCTTCCTTGATATAACGATCAAAGCTCCGATTCATCGCCGGGCGAAACCGGTGATGCAAGTTAACGGTGAAAGACGACTCGAGGTCAATTTCGCCTGGCGGATGCATTTGCGAATTACTTTTGGTGATTCGACCTTTCACCGCGACCAATCAAGTTATTACGCGTAACGCAAACCGCGGGAGTCTCACTTGACGCTTAATATATTTCTCCCGTATGGGATATAAGCTTTCAAGGCGGCCACTGCAAAAGCCACTGCGGTGAAACGTGACTCGTTATTTCACACTATGACAATATCGAATTAAGAAAGTTGTACAGGCCCGTTACAACGTGTACCTTTAAGATCGCAAAGTTTCATCGTTTATATATCGACTGTTCTTATTGCGTTAAACGCGATTGTCTTCACTTGACGTTATTATTCGATAGATTTCAAATTCGCCTGAAATGACAAAAAATATTTCGCATCTGACAATTCTATGTCAATTCACAATCGCAGTTTAGACTCAAAACGTTGAAGAATTTTTAATTCCACTTCATCGATTGTAAATGAAAATATAAAAATCGTATTCCGTAAAAAAACGTTATTAAAATTCTCGAGAACCGAAATACTCAAAACTTACGAATATTATTCTCGCGGAGCACAGATTAATTTCACGCACGACATAATATTAATACGAGCTCCAAAGGGATGCGTAAATATGAATGCAAATTCAAGAGGTTTAATCAAAACGAAAATGCGCAGTTAACAAGCCGCCCACTGTATTTCAATCTGCGAAATTTCAATAAGCCGATAAGCATCGTTCGATACTCGCGTGATATGCGCGATAACTACATGCACCACGCTTTCGCCATTTCACCTTCAATCCCCGCGAAACGGAGGCGTGATCCGAGCACGGCCGATTTTTACCGCACGCGCGAGCGCGAGACAGGTTTCGCTGAATCTAGGGAGCGACACGCGAGTGAAAATCGCCGACCTTGGAACAGCGAATACGTCGACAACCGATAATTAGGGATGAGTGTCTCTAGACAGCGTCTCTATGACGCAAAAAAAGAACCCCGTGATTATCGATGTCAAAACATCACTCCTGTACACTCTCTTGTACTCCCATTCATTCAATTATATCTATCGTCGCAAATTACAGTTAAAAAATCGTGCAACTCCTTTCAATCATCGCTTTTGTATCGCATCGCAATATTCATCTCGCTCTTTCGCAAATTACCCATATCTGCCACCGTTAACATTCGACAATCGTAAATCGCGATAGATCCGTGACTAATCTCGAAACGCGTACGTTCCAGATTTGTCATAACCCGCTACCTGTTCATTAATTAGGCGTGATTTGTTCATCTCTCGAGATTACTCGCGCGATTACGCGATGTAGAGCGAAAGAATAGCCCCCGTCATCTTACGCCGCTCGTCGAGATTATTACAAGACGCGATAACGCGCCGAGTACAAAGTTCCGTACACGCGCGTGGAAAATTCCGGGATCGGTTTCACGCCAAGTTGCCAGACGTCGGACATCCAGTCGTTTTGTTCGGGAGCGTAATAAATCTGCATCGCCGGGCTTATCCGCGAGTAATCTGCCACCGATAGCCCGACTAGGCGCTATGTCAACGTCGTTGCGCGCTTTCCCACTGCGACCGCGGAAAAATGCTAATGAATCCCGCGCGCCGTGCACCGCGCGGCGGCGGTGCAGCCGGCACCGTTGATTTATGGCGATCGTGTTCCGCTCAGAGGATCATTATGACACCGTCGGCTTTCGTCGGTACGCGCGCGCATGCGGATTCTGCACGGCGTCTCCCTCGGAGATAGCTCGCGTGTGTACGCGCTCCCGAAGCCGTGCGCGCGCCTGCCTCGCCTCGCCTCGCCTTTTCTTCCGGCAACGAAAGATATCGACACGTAACAATGCGTATTGTGGCCACGCGAGATGATAACTCGGCCGCGATAAATTAGAAGTATCGCTCGGGCGCGGACGCCGGATCCTGGGAACGTGAGCGATAAATCGCGCTTTTACGCGAGTTTCGGTATCGCGAGCGCGCGGTTTCTCACCCGCGTTCGATATATCGGCACGGAAAATCGTCGGTCAGTCGAGCACATACACATACGCGTCTCGTTATGCGTTATCCTTTCGTCATAAATTCATATTAATTCCCGCGTGGTTCGAAAACTCCGGTCTCCCGCAATCTCGCGCGCGGCATTTTTCCCCCGAGAACCTCTTCAATTATCCCCGTAGAGATATATCGCGATCCGGGAAGCCCACGGGGACGGCCGATCAGCTGCGTGAGTTAAACTTCGCGCCGGGATACCGATGAAAGGCGGTGTGTGCGCGACGTGCGCGCGCGCGGTGCGGCGCGGGGCGCGGCGCCGATGAAATCACGGAAATTTTCCGCCGGACTTTTTCCCAGGCCGGCGTTTGCATCGGGACGGGGAAAGAGTCGCCGACGCGGAACGACGTCGGCTCGCTCGCCGTCGAAGATGCCGAAAGATAGATCAGCGTGTTTCTCGCCGAGAGACGCCCCGAGCGTAATAGCGCGCGCGCGCGCGCTCTTTTCTCGCTCTTCCTTTCTTGTCTCCGTCCCGTTCCTTCTCTCGCTCATTCGCGCCGACGGAGCGCATGGGATCCCGGCGTTCTCGATTGCTCGGAAAACCATAAAACCGCGCGATGACCGATACCGAGAGACTGCCGCGGCTATCGTGCGTGATATGTTTTATAGGCTGGAGAGTATGCGAATGCGGTCGTGAGCGCTGCGAAGAACCGCCATGACGACGCGATCATCGCATTGACGAGAGGCGCAATTGCATCAAAAGAACGCCGAACGGCGAAAAGAATGCACGATGTGTCTGAGAAAGCAGAGAGATATATAAATCCTAAACATCAATTTTTCCGAGGAGACACGACGAGCCAGAGAATTCAACCTTTCAGTTTCGACTCTTTGTGATATTTATTATTGTAATGGAATAAACTTTAATCATACATAAATCAAACAATTAATTAACACTGAATTTAAGAAACGTAGATATTATATCTCGTGGCATAATTTTATTCTCAATTAATCAATTGAATTTAGTTTCCGATACTTTAATTAATTAATAATTGGTAATTAATGATTCGCTCATCGATAACTATCCTGTCGAATATTAGATGCGCAGCGCATAAACGTTTTCCCGTAATTGAATCGATGTCGATTTACTCCGATCCGGTTCTCACGGCGTTAATCGCGCCGATGTTGGAAAGAAAGTGTTATATCGGCAGGCGCGTTGTAAGCGTGCTAATTAAATAGCTTACGGACGAGAGGAAGCTTCGTTAGAGAGCTTGTAGAAGGAGATACGGCCAGGCCGGGAAGAACGGTAAGCCGCGATTTTGCTCCGCATCGGCGATTATAGTGGGCGTGTCTGCGACTTCATGACGGCGGAAAATTATAATTATTACCGACACCGGCGTCGATCACGTTTATTTAGCGGAAAGCTCGCGCGCTCCTTCCGCTCTCTCTCTCTCTC